ACACACACACACACACACACACACACACACACACACACACACACACACACACCAAGTGGCATGGGCAGCCACAGGAGCCTCCATGGCTCACAATACATATGCATGGACACAAGTAATATTAATTAAACCGGAAAGAAATTACTATCTTTGCTGGGGATCTGACAGAGAACTCAGTGCATGATTATGTGTATGGAGGAGGCTGCCTGTAATCCTAGCACTCAGGAAACTAAGGCAGAACTGAAGATCTGAAGCCAGCTGGGCTACATGACAAGACCCTGACCAAAAAACAACAAAACCAAATTGCAGTCAATGCAAAATTTCTCAGTAAAGATGCTGATAACAAAATTGCAAAGATCACCAATAAAACTTCTTTGAGACCAAGAATAAAACACCTGCACAGACATGTCAACTGTTAGGTAACTTCTTATATAAAGTCATTTGATCATATTTTCTAACAGCCTTGGAAATATTCTGTGGCTTAGAATTCAACTGTTAGAAATTTGGGCTAAAGAAATGATACAAAATACAGACAGTTGTGTGTATCAAGATGGGTGTTTTGACAGTGCTGCCTTGAAAAAGCTCAGCTGACCCATGTGTTCAAAAGGAGAAATTATGCTATGAAGCCTTCTTATGGCCACAAACTAATATTGTTATAAAAGATTTTTAAAGATGAGGAAAATTATGTTTTAAAGTTAGTTATTAAAGTATAAGGTTATATAAATAACATGATTTCAACCCTTAAGAAGATACAGAACGAGCTGGAGATAGTAGCGCCCATCTTTAATCTCAACACTCAGGAGACAGAAGCAAAAAGAAATCAACAGATTCAATTTTAAAAATATCATCCAAATGCCATTCTGATGTTCCCTAATGACAAGTTCTTTAGGGACAGGGATGTAGCTCACTGGCAGAGCACTTGCCTAGCATGCATGAGGTTCCCAGTTCAACTCCAAAAACTGAAAAGAAAGAAATACCTTTGGAAGATTGTAGACATGTCGCTGATAGATTAGCTCATAATGTGGAGGGTTGACAGCACTCTGATAAATACAAAACACATTTTCATTCGTAACATCTGTGAAGAAAATGTGACACGTTAAAAAACTAAATCTCTAGGGAATTTCAGGCAAAAATTTCAACATGTTTTTTAGGAGTTAGAACCTGGTTTATTTGGCGTCTGAACGAAGTGCTGAGAAGTGAATGTTTTTCCATCAGGGTACTTAGGGTGTGGAGGTAATCTGGAATCCAGGTAGGTGCAAAACACATGCATGATGATCTGAAAATGACACAGCAGTCATTCAAAGTTAGCATGACAATCTAGCAGACACAGATCTTTGAACAGATCTGTACTAACAATTTTATAAAGATAAGAAATTTAAATCACAAAACATTTAGTGTGTTGATGAAGTAAGGCTCAGCTTATTTTTGACACAGTCTACTCCAGGGCTGGTATGTAGCCCAGTTCATAGAGTACTGCCCTGGCTGTGATCGCCACTACACCCCTAAAAAATTTCACTCAAGCTGGGCAGCAGTAGCACACACCTTTAATGTTAGCACTAGAGAGGCAGAGGCAGGGAGAATCTCTGAGTTTGTGGCCAGCCTGGTTAACAGAGTGCATTCCAGGACAGCCAGAGCTAAACAAAGAAACCCTGTCTTGTAAACAAACAAACAAACAAACAAACAAATCACTCAGTTGAAAACATCTATCTGCCATGGTATCTACTTGACCTGTAATGGGAAGCTTTAAAGAGAAGCATTGAAAGCTCCCATGTGGGGAAACGGGCGTGGCACATGGAGTGGGGGAATTCACACACCAAGTTTATTTTACCTTCATTTTGTTTTTTTTTATTGCAATCCAAGAAAAGCACACATTCTTCCTTCCTCTCTCCACTGTCCCACACCTGTGTGTGTGTGTGTTTCAAGGTTATACCCAGAGTCTCACACATACTAGGCAAATGCTCTTTCACTTAGGTCTTTTATTATTTTGATATAAAGTGTCATTAAGCTTTTTAGACTGATCTTGATCTATTCTGTAGCATCTCAGGCTGGCCTTGAACTGAACTTAAGTCCTCTGCTTCAACTTTCTGAGTAGCTGGGATTATAGGCCTATACCCAACCTGGCTCCTTACTTTCTGTTAAAATAGAAAGTTTGCACCCATATAGTTGTCAGCAACACTAAGAAAAACTGCATACTCAATTTAAAAATAAACATCAAAAGTTAATTTTCATGTAAATAGTTAATACAAAAATAACAACTTTCAAAAACATAAACTTTAATGCTGTTTGATTTGCTAAATTATGGTAGCAATGTTTCCTAAGGCAATAATCCCACATAAGAAAGAACGTGTCATAACATTCTCTGTTACATCACCTATCACATAAAAACAAACTCCCACTACCACTTTATCAATCTTTTAGGTCCAATAAAGAACAATTAAGCGCCGGGCGGTGGTGGTACACGCCTTTAATCCCAGCACTTGGGAGGCAGAGGCAGGCGGATTTCTGAGTTCGAGGCCAGCCTGGTCTACAGAGTAAGTTCCAGGACAGCCAGGGCTACACAGAGAAACCCTGTCTCGGAACCTCCCCCTGCAAAAAAAAAAAAAAAAAAAAAAAAAAATTAAGCAATGATGTATAATAATGAAAAACTGCTTAAATATCATACAAGCAAAAAGGGGAGCAGGACACACCACCTTGCACACAGTGTTCCTGCAGGCGCACTGAGAAACTTCAAAGACAAGTACCACGTAAGGAAGCAGACAGTCTTCACGGTGCTGGGCAAGAGACTGGTGCTATTCTAATCATTTCCTTCTTACTTCCTAAGTTCTTTCTAATACTTTATAATAAGAAAATAAAACCATGTCAATATAATAACAAATTTATCAAGCTAAAAGCTAAGGCCTTACAGCAGAGTCAGTGGGCAGGTCCGTATCCCACTTGCGTCCTTTGAAGTCTCCGCCTCTGTTCCATCGGAATGAACTCATACAGCCCCCCTGAGAAAGTTCTGAGGAAGAAAAGTTAAAATTAAAATGTTATAGACCAAAATGAACAAACAAACAAAAACAAAACAAGAAAGCCAGAAGACTACAATAAGAAAGTATTCTGTTGTAAAACCTTACCAGAATAGTAGAAAAAAGAAAGAAGAAAAAAAAAGAAAAAAGGAAAGAAAGGAAGGAAAAGAAAGGATAAACAGGAAAACTGTAACTTAAAATAACATTAATTTATCATAATATTTGATAGTATTTGAATTATGATTCAAACAAACAACATTTAAAACAGGATTATGTATTTCATGAGATGGTAGGGTATTTAAAACAACAAAGACTATTTCATAGAATAAGGGAACATTACAAATGTGAGGTCTGATAGCTGACTGTGGTCAGTATGTGCTAACAGCACGGTTACATTGCAGAAAGCTTTGTTTTATGAATACATTAAGAAAACATTACAGGTGACCTAACAACTGAAAGACCATCCAACAAAGGAACTTCAGTGAAGAAGCTTCACAAAATGGCTAGGCTCTGACTGACGACATACATGTAGGACTTGCTTTCAATGAAACAGGCAGAAAGCAGCCTGGGAATGACAGACAGAAGAGGCCTGAGAGAGACATGTTCTGAACTCAGTGATGCAAAGGTTGTGGGGGGGGTTTTGAGGTGGGGGCACTGAACAGGTAAACTAGGCACATGTTCTATCCCTGAGTTCTATCTAGTGTTGTGTGCTTGCTTGAAATTCTCCTATGTGACAAGTTTCTACAAAGTTATGAAAGACCGCTTATTCTTAAAACTGAATCCATAATACTTTCCATGTAAAAATGTATGAAAAATTTGAATACTGAAATGCTATTTTAAAAATCTGCTTTAACAGAGAAACATTTTACAGTCTGTCCAAATGAACAATAACTCTAATTTATGAATTGCTCTCTGAGTATAACAGTACTGAAGAAAGAATATGGGCCGGCTCTAGAGGTTGATCTTCCTGATTCCAGGTCAATCTCCTCAAATCACATCTCCCCCCAATTCTAAGCATATAACAGAAACCACAAATTAAATAGAAATTACGAAAATGACAAGAATCTGATTAGCATACTGCTATTACAAAGAGCATCGCGGTGGCACTCAGCTCTTGGTAGTGTGAGGGGTAGAAAATGGGTCCAGCCTATTTAACTCATATTTAAATTTCTTACACAGAATAAAATGATTACAATCTTCAAAGATACTCTTTTGACAGTTCTTAGTGTGTCAACCAGAGGACTGACAAGTTGTTCAAATATAAGCCTTAATTAACCCCTACTTAAATATATACTTATAAAATATAAGACCATAATTACGTTTTTACTTTTTTTCAAAATATGTTTTCCCTTGTTATCTTTCATTTACAAAAATCCTAATGTTGCAAAAGAGCTTTCATTTTTCCTCTTCAAATCAAGTTACCTTTGATTCTTTCAAACAAGTACTCCTGATTTGGTGTTAGATCTAAATACTGCACAATTGCATTCAGAGTTGGAATGAGAGGAGCTTTGACCAGGGCGGCTTGTTTCAAGCTGGTGACACTCGCCTCTGTTAAAACACAAAGAGCGCAGATTACTCATCACAGACTCCAGTGAACTTCACAGTTTTCCTTGCCTGTTTTCAGATGGCTGGCTCCTCACTGCCTTCAGGATTTTACACAAGTCTACAATGTCTTCCTTAACACTCTAGCTCAGATTTCACCCGCCAAGCACGAAGATGAGCAACTAATTATTCCTATACTTTTTTTTCTGTCTTAGCACTAATTATTTTTTCCACCGTCCCTGTTTATCTCATTTATTAGAAAGAAAGTGCATCAAAAGCAGGGTTTTAGTCATTTTTCTGTAGTGTTATACCACAGCACTGCCTCAAACAGCACCCAGCTTATTGCAGGTACTCAAATATTTGTTAAAGAATAAAGGAAAGCAATAATTAGTCTTTTAAAAAATTTATTTATTAGTTTAAAGATATATTTTTATGTGTACGGATACCTTGCCTACATGCATATCTGTGTACCATATATATACCTGGTGCCTGCGGAGGCCAGAAGAGGACATCAGATCCTCTGAACTGGAGTTACACTTATTTGGTTGTGTAGATAGGAATTCAGCCTGAGTCCTCTGAAATAGTAGCCAGTGCTTTTAACCACTAGGCCACCTTTCCAGCCCTTGAGTTTTGTTTGTTTGTTTTATTACTTTTAACCATGTATTTCTGTGTGTCTGTGTGTATTGTTCACATGACTGCAGGTGACCATAGAGACCAAAGATATCTGGTCTCCTGGAGATGGATTTGCAGGTGGTTGGTGAGTGCCGGGAACTGAACTCAAGTACCCTGCCAGAGCACTATGTGATATTAACTACTGAGCCATCTTTCCGAAACAGAAATAACTTGCAGTACATAGTTTACATGATTTCATGTAAGGTGGATAGATTTTCTCACTTTCTCTTAGATACCCACACACACCTCTTTAAAAAAAGGTATCCAAATTCATGTTGACAAAACTAATATATAAAAATATATAGAAAATATTATAGGTATAAAAGATATACCACAGCTTTCAAAATGAGCTGTATTAAAAGTTACTCACTGTACCAGAGTAAGATGTATGATAATAATTTCCTTTAGAGTATGAAAGATAATCATGCAAAAAAATTAAGAGGAAAAAAGGCACATAAAGCAGCACCTGGTGTTAGAAGGAATTATTCCAAGAATATAGACGCAACAGCATGAATTGGCCTAAGCTTTTTGAAGGGAATATATATTGAAAACCTTATTCACAGCAACATTATTTATAGGAAATAATCCAAATGCCAATCAACTGGTGAATGGGTAAACCAAATGTATAAGATTCATTTTGAATATTCGTTGGGCATAAAAAGAAATAAAATACTTGGATGAAACTTAAAAACATATGCCAAGTGAAAGAAGCCAGTCACAAGGGACCACAAACGGAGTGAGATCACTAACACGGAACAGCACCAATAGGTCTGTCTGCAGAGACAGACATGGAGTGGAACCTACACAAGGCTGGAGGGAGAGTATGGAAGGAGAGCGACAGCTAAGGGTGTGGGCTGAAGACATGCTGATGGCTCAAGCACACCTTTGGACTGTCCACTCTCAAATAAAGCTGCTACATTTGAAAACAATTACAAACATTTTCTTCTTCACTGGAAGACAACAAAGGATATTCAACAGCCCATTACACCATGTTTTCCACTTAACTGAGCTACTAAAAGTAATTCCCACACAGGGCTCTGCTTCACATACCTCCTATTTGTAGCTCTGGACAGCCCATCCGTCTCATCTGGGTGCTGACAGATTCAATCTCTTGCACAAGTGGCACTAATATTGTCTCACTGATCCACTAGGGAAGAATGAAGAATGGCTTCTGTAGTTATCATTCTAAAGTATTTCTCAAGTCATTATGTCCTTCCTTTAGGCAACTTTTGTCTGGTACTTGCTTAACTGAGTCATAAACCACAGAGAGAGAGAATGCAGGCAGCAGCACTGTGAAGCTGAGTGCAGTGCTGCTAAGCACTTATCAGCTTATATTCTTACATCCTACCTGCTGCTTATTGGAAGAAAATGTTAAATTCTCAGCTAGCTGTTATATTTTTTTTTCCTAAAATTTCTTTTTTCAAGATCGGCATAGTGGCTTGTGCCTATAATCCAGATACTTGGGAGCTGGAGGCAGGAAGACTATCACAAGTCTGAGGTCAGCTGGTCTATACATTACATACTATGTCAGCTGGAGCTACCTTGTAAGACCCTGCCTTCAAACAAAACACTTTCTATAACTGTTACTCTTGGCTGAAAGGAAATACAATCTTCTGTCTACACATACTCAAGTATTATCATACCACTTGTGCTGGTTTATAATCAGTAAAGCAGTTTTCAAACTAAGGTAACTCATTAATTCTCTGTAGGCTTGTCGATGATCTAACTGTAGATAGATTTACTTAAAACCAGTTTATAAATATTACAGTATTACCTTTAAAGATTAGGAATTTCAAATTCCCTTTCCCATGGCTAGTATCAAACTAATTTGAGGGTGTGAAGAGAATCTCTGGTATGTGTGTTACTGTTCTGTGTTTGCAGTGACTCTGACCCCTACTTCTGTTCCTAAGCTTCTATTTAACTTGAAAGAATGAAAAAAAGTTTCAGATGAAATACTAACCCACACTTCCCTATAAAAGTTTGAATGAAAAAATCTTTGAAAACTAAAAGGTCTTTTCTTTTTATATTATTTTATTTTTAATTGTGCATGTGTTCATGCACGCACACACACACACACACACACACACACACACACACACACGTGAGTAGAGGTGATCACACAAGCCAGAGGCACTAGAAGCCCCTGGGCTGCAGTTACAGGTGACTGAACTGCCTGACATAGGTTCTGAGAAACACTCAGGTCCTCTACAAGAACATACATGCTCACAGCCACTGACCCATTTCTCCGGCCCATGAAAGCCTGCTAAGAGCTAACAGCTCTTATTTTAAATGCAACCATGTCAGTCTTGCTTGACACCCTGTCACTTACTTTATTCTGTCACATGCAAACAACCTGCCAGCTACTCTCTGGCTAGAGCAAAACTGACTAGTTTAAAAAAAAAAAAAAAAAAAAAAGATACTGACCTCATCCCCAGAAATTCTGCCTGAGAATCATGGTACTAGACTCAAACTACTGTATTTATTTTACTTTTTAATTTTTAATCCTGAAATAATAGCCCAGGCTATAGCCCAAGCTAGTCTTTGTTTTTCTTTTTATGTTTTCTTGTTTTTGGTTTTTCAAGACAGGGTTTCTCTGTATAGTTCTGGCTGTCCTGGAACTCACTCTGTAGACCAGGCTGGTCTTGAACTCAGAAATCCACCTGCCTCTGCCTCCCAAGTGCTGGGATTAAAGGTGTGTGCTACCACTGCCCGGCCCAAGCTAGTCTTGAACATCACATTTTTGCCTCAGGCTTCTTAGAATGTATTTTAGGCATGTGCCACCATGCTTGGCTAGTTACCCTTCCTTCTTGATACCTCAAAGTATACTTACTAATGGAACACATTTGTTCTAAGCCATAGAGGACCTGGGACTCACAGAATACCATGAAGAGTGAGAGAAGCAGCACGCTGAGAATCTACCATCTGTGTGGAAGAGCTGATGCAGACAGTAAGAGGACTCTTCTAGGAGACAGAGGAACTGCACAAGTACTCTAAGTAGTATCAAACACACGAGTGTTTTCTGAAGGCCATCTTTTTGTCTCCCTCATAATTCTAGGTACACAATATACTGACAAAATCTTTTGGGGAAATAAAATGGAAGCATCTTAAAAGTATACTGTTCCTTTATTTTCTCTGTTTTATTTATTTATTTATTTATTTATTTATTTATTTATTTATTTATTTTCCACTGATTGAACATGGAAAGGAATACATAATCCCAAGGAAACTGTCACCTCTACCTTATATATGCACCATTTTTTTTTTCCTAAAATTTCTTTTTTCAAAATGGGCATAGTGGCTTGTGCCTATAATCTGGGTACTTAGGAGACGGAGGCAGGAAGACTATTATTACAAGTCTTCTGCAATTACTTTTAATAATATTTACTTTTAATAATATTTAATTCAAACATTGTTATGAATAACCTCAGTTGATAGTTTGATATAGTTCAGTAACTGGCACGAGACACAGCTTAACATTTTATTTTTTAAGATTTATGTTTTTATTTTGTGTGTGGTTGTATGCATGTCTGGCAGTATGTATTGTATGTGTATCTAGAACCCACAAAGGTCAAAAGAGGGCATTAGATTTTCTAGAATTATAGTCAAAAGTGGTTGTAAATTACCATGTGGGTGCTGGGAATTGAACCCAGTTCCTCTGGAAGAGCAGCCAATGCTCTTAACCACCAAGTCATCTTTCCAGCCTACAACTTACATTTCTAAACTTGGCTGTCCATGAATCCATGTGATCAAGAAGCTGTCTATTCATAGTCACTCTTGCCCAGACCTGTTTAAAAAACAAAAACAAAACAAAAAACCCTTCAGAAACACTAATATTCATTTAATTAGCATTTAGCAAATGCTTTTTTTAAATTACTAATTCATAGTTGTTGTTATTACAGAAATATATCTTTAAAAGTTCTTTATGTTGGTAGGATCTGTGTGTGTGTGTGTTTGGCTTTTAAGTACAAAGTAAAAATATAAAACCCCATATGATATTAAATGAGTACAGAGTCCAAATATATTTTAAATATAACACATTAAGTACAATAGATACTTGAGAATTTATTGTTATTTTTTATTTTGGTGTAGTGCTAGTGATCAACCATAGTGCCTTGTGTATGCTACACAGGTAAGTACTCTATCACTGAGTTACATACCCAGCCTTTGAGAACCTTTTTTCTAATGATCATGGAACGGTATTTTAGGCAGGGCATTTTAATTAACTATGTATCACACAGTGTAAAAGTTTAAAACACACACACACACACACACACACACACACACACACACACACAGAATTAAAACAGCCGGGCAGTGGTGGCGCATACCTTTAATCCCAACACTTGGGAGGCAGCCAGGGCTATACAGAGAAACCCCTGTCTCGAACCCCCCCACCCCCCAAAAAAAAAGTTTAACACAAAAGCTATTCCACTCTGAATGTCCAATGTTTCCAACCATTAAGAGAGATCATAGGAAAAGTTTTCCAGCAATATGAAAGTCATAATATATGAAAACATTTTTACTTTCTCTTTACCTCTTCTGCAGCTTGCTTAGAAATGAGATCGGCTTCATCTTTGTTAGCACTTGGGGCCTGAGATCTACAGGCAAGCTGATATTGAAACTTCTTTAAGGTTTGTGCATAATCCCCCACAGAACGACTGTAATTCCAGAAGGTAGGACTGGTAGAAGGAGAGGTGGAATCTGGGCTCCCTGAAATTAAATTGAAACCATTTTAGTCCTTACAGTAATTTTTTATGTAGCAGTAATAATTCAGAGATGCAGGGTACCTAGGCAATCCCTGACAAACTCGGGGAATCAGAAGACAAGCACCCCCAACTATACTCAAGGAGTCAGAAGAAAAGAATCCCTTTCCCCTTCACACACTGTACTCAAGGAGTCAGAAGATAAAACCTAGAAGCATCTCCCCTGGCCTCAATATTGTCTTCTCTTTGGAGATCATTGGTTCCCTGTGTTAAAAATTAACAAGAACATACTCTGACAGTATCAACTTGAGAGGCCCAAGAAGTACAAATGGTTGGGAGTCTCTATTTTTGTTGAAAAATTAAGCTTGTTTTATTAAGACTTTTACTAATTCAGGGAAAAACATGTTTGGAAGTTCCTCTGAATGGAGCACCAGCAGGACTCTGTTAAAAAGCCTTTTTCAACTTAAGGCTATACAAATTGAACTTTACATGGTAGCCTGTAGTAACTCCTGTGTTGATTAAAACCTTCTGTAGAAACCTAAGACAGTGATGTCTAGGAGCACATGTCCACCGGTGCCCCCACTTCAAGTCTTACCGCACCGAGGACTTGTTAGTCTGTATTCCCAAACAGAAGATGAACTCTTTTAGAGCGAGGATGCGTTCTCTTCTACCAGCATACAGCATTGCTAAACAAACAAGTTCTCTGTAACGAGTATACTTATGAAGTGCTTATCCTTACAGAGTTTGAGAAACAAGGTCTCCATCTAGCTTGCTCAGAATAGACAAAACTCTGCTAAAACTCAGAATCATGCAAATTACTAGCAAATGAGACTCCAATGTAAAAATCAACACTACGATTAAAAAAATTTAGGTATTTATTTAGTATCTAAGAATTACAGATAATTGAACTGTTCGATCAACTTTGAAGTGGGCTTAGCATCATTGACACAGGAAAAAAAGGATTGAAAAAGAAGACTAAAACAAGATACTCTTAAAAAAAAAAAAAAAAGCAGATTTGAGAAAAGCTAAACTTTAGAGTCCAAAGTGACTAAAAACAACTGAGCTGAGAGATAACAAGGTTGTTCTTTTCAGAAGATTGCCAGATCACTAAACATGGATGAACCCACAAGGAAGTCTCTGTTTGCAACTATCTTTGCATTAATGCATTTGGGCAAGCTCTCTGGTGAATTACTGCAAGCAGGGCAGCTGGAAGCAGGAAACCAAAGGAAACTACTATGGAGGAAGCTGACTGCAATCATGGTGACCACATGATACAACTCCCTCTCACCAGACCCATGTATCATGCCTCTCCTAAGCTACTGCACAGAGACATACAACTAAGCTACCAGAAAACACTTGGGAGTTCATGATGACAAAACAACTGGACAAATCCAATTTCCCCAATAGCCTGATCTCTTTAAAATAAACATATCATACACATACATTCTAAGTGTGTTAAAGGCAAAAAGAAATGCAACTAAATGGAGTAACCTGCATCAGTAAAACAAAAAGTTCTAAAGGTCATCACTGGGTCAACTATAAATATAATGTGTCTGAGTTACAGTGGTATTGCAATTTAAAAATTCATTTTGAAGTTAAAAGGGGAAATGTCCTGTTCTCAGGGGACACGTGAAATATCAAGAGATGAAGTATCACAAGGGCTACACCTTGTTTTTAAATGACTCCATGTAAATGAGTGTGTAGCTTCTCACTCCTAGAGAACTGAGTTTGAATATGGAATTGGAATTATCTATATGAATTATTTGCTAGCTGGATGCTTTTAGAACCTAAAATATGATGCCTAAGTAATAACAGCATACACAGTACTCAGAAATTAACTTCTAAATACCATTCTCCTCTTTGAGGGTATGGGGCAAAAATGACAGGCAAAAATGGGAAAGGTGGGGCACAGGTGGATAAGAAAATGTTCAAAGAAAGACACCAAAAATACGACACCATTTCTTTCTTTTCTTTTCTTTTTTTAAGACAGAATCTCACTTTGTAGCCCTAAGCTGTCTTGAACTCACTATATACACCAGACTGGCCTATAACCCACAGAGATTTGCCTGCCTCTACCTCTGGAGCACTAAGAGTAAAGGCATGTGCCATTAAATCCACTGAGGATAGCTAGTCCTAGAGAAGCTGAGAGAAGTGGATCCCTGGGGCAGCTCACAGCCAGCTTAATATAACTGCCACGGTTCAGGCCAGTGAGAGCTCCACGTCAAAGACCACAAGGTGAACAGCACCCAAGGAAGGACGCTTAAAGCTTGTCATATGTACACATGTACAATATGAGTGTATGTACACACACAAATCCCTACACACAAATGTATAGGGGGAAAATACTGATGGAATGGTATAATTAGAAAGTCCCCAAACAGACAGGCTTATAATTCTAGTACTCAAGAGACTGAGTAAGGAACACAAGTTTGAAGATTGCTTGAGTGACATAATGAATTCCAAGCTAGCCTGAGTTTAATAGCATGATTCTGTCTTAAAAAATACAAAGATTAAAAAAAAAAAAATTCCCATGAGAACATAGCAGTAATTTTGAAAAGAATTTTAAACTAATATTAAAAGCAGCATTAAAATTTATAATAGGATATTTACAAACCTGAGAGTACGTTGGCAAAAGAAAAAAATTAATGTATGCAGAGTATTTAAATTACCTAAAGCTTACAAACACAGCAGAGTAGTTAAACGTATTGAAATAGGCAAAGACAGAGAGACCAGAATTTAGAGTCCACGCTCTTTTCAATGTGTCAGAACCATTTATACAAAAGTGACCATAGAGCCTCCAAGCAAGCCTGAGATTAAAAAGCCTTCCCCACAGAGAAAGGAGAGAAGCCCCAAACATTAATAAATATAGATCAGAATTTCTAACCGCAGCACAATTAACTTAGGAGGAAATAAAGATAACTAGGTCTTGTCAGGCTTGACAATGAAAAGCAACAGCAATAACACTTACAAACATCGATAACAATACTTCTAAATGTGAAAGAAAAGATAAAAAGGAAATGAAAAATATCTGAAAATCATAAAAGATATGTACTAGTTGTTCTTTGTGCTACTCTATAATTTTCAGTACACTTCAAATATTTCAAAGTCTCAAAACAGAAGAAAGTAACAAGATAATATTGATTTGTTTCCTTGACATTTGTGGCACTTGCAGGCAGAATTAAATTAAAAACCCCTAGAGAGATTTCAAGCGACACAAAGAGCCATGCTCCAATAACTTGGCTTCCTCACCATGGCCACGCTTTCGCACCTAATGTGCTTTCTGTGGAAGATTCCTGGGGGGGAAAATCATTACTCAGTTCAATAACCTAATTTGGTTTCAAATAATTGACTTTGTAATAATCAAATCCACCACAAATAGATTAAGACTGGCTAACACTCTTTGCCTAGGTAAACTATATGCTTTAAGGAATTATTAAGAGACAAATTTTATAATGTTATTAAAAAACAAAACAATCCCCCCAACCCAGTAGCACTTTTAAGGGCAATGATGCTTTTTCCCAACCCTGCTTTGCACATCAGTCTTCCGAAAAGCCTAGTAAAGAGCTGTCATTTGAAAAGTTTGCTACACACTGCTTCAAAACACACACAGCTACAACTTGGGGGCATGCTATCCCATATAAAAGGAATTTTAAACTTACAGCAGAGAAAGACTTAAGGTTGCTCAGGTCAGCTATGTTTAATCTCCTAAATTTAACAGTCAATCTAGTATTAGTTTAAGGATTATATAAAGTAACAAACAAAATATGCATTATCAGATGTAAATGAAATACGGTACCCAGCTTCACTCTATGCTGTTTCTCTTCCTCGCTTCTAAGGAACGTGTCCAAAGTTCTCAGGTCTGTCATGTAGTCCTCTTTGTCAGTGGGTGAGTTATAGACTGTGGGTGGAGAACGGTAGCGAGCTCTCAATCCACTGCTCTCCGCTGGACCCACAGTGGTAGGGTACGGAGAAGAAGGAGACAGACTAAAGCTTGCCAACTACACAAAAGCAAAGAATTGGATTTTACTTAAGTTCACATACAAATATTTTTAATTTTTAAAAAAATGTTTATTTATTTATTTAATGCATATGAGTACACTGTTGCTGTCTTCAGACACACCAGAAGAGAGAATTGGGTTCTGTTACAGATGGTTGTGAGCCACCATGTGGCTGCTGGGTATTGAACTTAGGACTTCTGGAAGAGCAGTCAGTGCTCTTAACACTGTGCCACCTCTCCAGCCTTTTTTTTTTTTTTTTTGGTTTTTTGAGACAGGGTTTCTCTGTGTAGCCCTGGCTGTCCTGGAACTCACTCTGTAGACCAGGCTGGCCTCGAACTCAGAAATCCACCTGCCTCTGCCTCCCAAGTGCTGGGATTAAAGGCGTGCGCCACCACCGCCCGGCTTCTCCAGCCTTTTTTAAAAAATAAGAAAATCAGGGCAAGAGAGACGGCTCAGCAGATAAATCACTTCCTGTTCTGGCTTTGGTACCCAGCACCCACATGGCAATTCACAACCACATGTAACTCCGGTTCTAAGGGCTCTGACGCCCTATTCTGGCCTCCATGGGCACCAGGCACACACACCTGATGCATATACATACAGGTAGGTACTTATATACCTACATATGAAAATCTTAAAAAAAATCTTATATATTCATAAAGCTATGGTATTCTAAGTAGAAGTTAAACAGATTACTTTTGGATAGTAGGAGGATAAGCAATTTCCTTCCACCCCATTTTCTAATTTTCTATAATGATCATATATTTTTCTTATGAAAACCATTTTAAAAAGCCATACTCAGGAGGGGAAAAAATATGATCAAAATATATAATTCTTTTTTTCAAGTAAAAAGAAAAAACCTATTATTTTCTTTAAAAAAAAAAAAAGCCTCACTGTCCTGTGGGATATGAATTCTAACTACACAGTTCTCATAGTATTTAACTTCTACTAAACTAAAAATTGTATAACTTAGTACTGGGTAAACAGTAGCATATATTTTTCATTTCAAAGGAATATCATGTTAAAACTGAAGAGACAGACTGCTGCTTTCTTCTAAGCAATCTTCTCTCACCCAGTACCTGGAAATGCTCATCTACCATAGCAGTGAGAGCTTCCCACAGACGGCTTCTCTTTTGATGACTTGCTCGCAGCCTTATGCCCTACAGAATTTAAATCAATCTTCCTATCTTCCTTCCTTCCTTCCTTCCTTCCTTCCTTCCTTCCTTCCTTCCTTCCTTCCTTCTTTTCTCTTTTCTTTTCTTTTTTGAGTTTTTCAAGACAGGGTTTCTCTGTGTGGTCCTGGCTGTCCTAGAACTCACTCCGTATACCAGGCTGGCCTTGAAATCAAGATATCATCTGTCTCTGCCTCCCAAGTGCTAGGATGAAAGGGGTGTGCCACCACTGTTTGGCCAGAACTAAAGTTTCAACCTACACATTTTGTTAGCGATATCCTAAAAAATTAGACCAGCACTGACATTAGTAGGGAAAAAGATTTCGACCCGTGAAATAGCAAGTGTCCACACTCCAGAAGCAAACTACACGAGGATCCCTGGTTTTATCTCAGAGGATGCGGCATGACAGAAAGCGTTAAAATAAAATTCTACAAGAGAAGTGAAGCCTTCACACAAAAAGCTTAAAAACGGGAAATATGCATCAAAGAAACCAAAGACTCACTATTTTCAAGACTGCAGAAACCAGCTGGTGAACATTTACGCTTTACTACCTTTAAAATGTTCATGGTAAGACTCCTGACTGAGTGATAGGACACTTGGTTTCTTTTCTGGCTCTTCATGGGTGATTTACACATCAAATGTCCTTCAGTTTCCTCACCAACTAAATGCATAGTTTGGACTCGCAGGGTGATTTTAGTGCAATTCCCAATTCTGAAGTAGTGTCACCAGGCAAACAGCAAGTCATTACCTTATTGTAGCCACTGACAGGCGAGTAGGTCACTCCAGGGCTGTACGAGCCCAGGCTTCCTGAGGACAGACCTTGCAGCTGAGGGCTGTACCCAGTGATACAGCTGGTGGCAAACTTGGGACTGGTACTGGGGGAACGAGATGGGCTGTAACTTAGCACACTCTGACCTTGAATGGAAGGGGAAGGTGGAGATGGAGAGATTTGGGTGGCTGCCAAATCACGAGGAGGTGTGGTCTGCACAACTAGAAGGGAAAGAAAAGAAAATTAACACACAATATTTATTTGCTTTTTGGTTTTATAGACAGCGTTTCTCTGTGTAGCCCTGGCTGACCTGGAACTCACTCTGTAGACCAGGCTGACTTCAAACTCTGCCTGTCTCTCCCTCCCAAGTGCTGGGATCAAAGGCCATCGCCTAGCTACAATATATATTTAAATTAAAACAAGAAGTTTAAGGCAAGGGCTCCATAGCTCAGGGGTTAGAGCACTGGTCTTGTAAACCAGGGGTCATGAGTAAATCTCGCTGGGGCCTTCAAATTCCCTTTGGGGAAGTTTAAAAATTAAGTTTTGTTATATAGCTCAGGCTAGCCTTGACCTTAAACTCTTCCTGCCTCAGTTTCTTGAGTATAAATAAAATAATGATAGCAGATTTAAGGGCTCAGCACAGTGGCACAAGCTTTTACTCTTGGAAGGCAGAGAGTGAGGTGCAGAGGCCAGTCCAGCCTGGTATACATATTGAGTTCCAGGACAGCCAAGGCTACAGAGACACTAAATTAAAAAAAAAAAAAAAAAAAGCCAGGCAGTGGTGGCCCACGACTTTAATCCTAGCACTTGGGAGGCAGAGACAGGCGGATTTCTGAGGTCTACAGAGTGAGTTCCAGGACAGCCAGGGCTATACAGAGAAACCCTATCTCGAAACCGCCCCCCCCCCAAAAAAAAAGAAAAGGAAAAAATAAATAAAAATTAAACTTTAGAATATAGATAAATTTTAAAAATATAAAATAAAAAACAAAATTAAGGAACTCAATCCCTACATCCCCCCCAAGGAGAAAAAAACCAGAAGGCTCTGGCTATAAAATTACATAAGTATTATTACACAATTACAACTAACTGGTTGTTTACTATTTCTACAATGTTTAAAAGAGTAAAACAAATTTGTACAATGTTATTTGATGTTCTACTCAATTCACAGAAATAACAATGATAATCGTATAAGAATTTCTGCCGGGCAGTGGTGATGCACGCCTTTAATCGCAGCACTTGGGAGGCAGAAACAGGCTGATTTCTGAGTTCAAGGCCAGCCTGGTCTACAGAGTGAGTTCCAGGACAGCCAGGGCTACACAGAGAAACCCTGTCTAGAAAAAAACCAGAAAAACAAAACAAAACAAAAAAGAATTTCCTATAAACTAGCTTTATGTAATAGATGGCCTTCTAGCTCAGTCTACAAAAAGGGAAAACTAAGATAAAGGACTACCCCCTGCCCCCGTCCCCCCCCCCACTTACCAGCTGATTTCAGCCCTAACAGCGCTTGCTGTCCAGGGCTGACCACCAGGCTTGTTGGTGCTACGGTATATTTGAAGTATCTCCAAAAATCAAACAAGGCATTAAGACTGAAGAGAGACGCGAGGGCAAGTTCTAGAAGAGAACAGCAACTTACTATTATTAAAACAGTCTCCTCACTTAGTTGGGGGTACATGGAGGTCAGAGGACAACTAGTCTAAGTTGGTTCTCTTTCTTCACCATGTCGGTTTTGGTGATGAAACTCAGGTTGCAATGCTTGGTACCGAGTGCTGTAATGGGTAAGCCACCGCTCCAGCTTCAATTTATTATTTTAAAAAGCAAAAAGGTCCCGGTTTCACTTTGGTAGGGGAATAAAAATTACTTTGTACTTTTAGCAAATTAACATAAAAAATTAAAAACCGGTTTCTCCTTCCTCATGTCAGATACCACTTAATCAAAGAGGCAGATGCAGAGCATTTACTAGTGAGTTTTAAACTATTACTAATTCTTGTAACTGTACAATAAACGTTTTCACTTTCATTTTAGTAGCCAAGTGTTAGAGAACTCTCAGCTTATTAGTGAGCCATGACTCTTACACCTAAGGACCCCAAATCCCTTCCTTCTCCATCTGCCACACCCACTCTAATAAGACTAGGAAAAAAATTCAAAGTTATTTTTATGTGTATGAGTGTTTTGCCTACATGTATTGGGTTTCCTGGAACTGGATTTGGTTATGAGTCACCATGGGGGTACCAGGAACCAAACCTGGTCCTCTGCAAAAGCAAGACATGCTCTTAACCTGAGTCGTCTCTCTATTCCTGCATGGTAGAATCCCTCATCCCAAGACAGGATTTCTTTGTGTAGACCAGGGTGACCTTAAACTCAAGAGATACACCTGCCTCTGCCTCCTGAATGCTATGACTAAAGGTGTGTGCTGCCACCACCAGGCTCTCCAAGATACATGTAAATGTGTATAGAATAAATTCCTAGGATTCTTTATATCTCAAGGATTAATCTGGTCTTGAAGGTGAAGAGGAAGCTTTTCGAGAGTGGCAAAGGTAAACCCACACGCTTTATTTTTCTTCCTAGGATTCCTAATTACCTAGCGCTGTATTGCTTATTAACTTTGTTTAGAGATAAGGTCTCAGGTGCAAGGCTGGTCTCTACTTCTGATTCCTACCTCCCAAGTACTGGGACTAGATCATACCTGGCTTCTATTTTGGTGGGTTTGATGTTTGTTTGTTGTTGGTGGTGGTTTTGTTTTTTTTTTTTTTTTTTTTGGTTTTTCGAGACAGGGTTTCTCTGTGTAGCCCTGGCTGTCCTGGAACTCACTCGGTAGACCAGGCTGGCCTCGAACTCAGAAATCCACCTGCCTCTGCCTCCCAAGTGCTGGGATTAAAGGTGTGCGCCACCACCGCCCGGCTTTGTTTGTTGTTTTTAAGACAGGGTTCTGCAATTTATCCTAGGCTGGCCTCAGACTTGAAGTAATCCTCCTGACTCAGCCTCCTATTATAATGTTCTTTCCTTAAAAGGGGTTACCGTGTTCCTTTTCCACTAGATTCATGATACTGGGAAACAGACTAAGAACTCATTATTTGTCTGAAGAAGAGAATGAATACTAACCTGAATTAAACCTATAAGCAAGTCTTCATTTGTAGTAAATCTAAATTACAGTGGAAATTACTTACCAATATACCAGAGTGGCCAGTATGTCACATTATAATATGTACTAATTAACTTTCCAGTCCTGAAAAGATTAGAAAGGCTTTTCAGTTATTTTTTTTAAAAAAAACACCCCCACCTCCACCACAAACAAACCAGACACTTAAAACCAAAACATATATTAAAAACCATACTAGCAGCCAAAAGTAGTTGAAATTTTCACTTTTGGGCTAATTAACTTACATTTCAGTATATATCATTCCAGCCATGGATACATTTAGTAGTCCCCAGGCTAAAACCACTTTCCTAGTTTCTGTTTCTTTTCTCATCTTGATGGTTCTGTCAATAAGGGAAGGACTGGGGCTTACTTCTCCTTGCATCTATTCAAAGGCAAAAAACGAAACAGCCTGAAATTAAAGTAACCGCCCCCCACCCGACTTGTCCTCTTCCTTAAAATTTCTTCCCAACTTTTCCCCTCCCACTTTAATTAATATATGAGCGTTTAATATTAGTATACGAAACGCAACCCTGAAACACCTTCTTAGGTACTACAGAAAAATCAACAGGGAACTTGCTGGTTATTTCCGAGAAGCTACTGTTTCCAACAAATGAAAATGTTTTGCTTCATAATGAAATGGTTTGTTATTAAGTTTGCAAAGAGTTCTTTTGTCTCTGACTCGAGTTACTAGATGAAGAGACACCAAATACCAATTTTTGTCATTACTGTGTCAGACTCTAACCTAGACCATGGACTCATACAGGCTCAGGATCTCCTTTTGGTAATGAACTTTTAAAGCTTTTCTCAGGAGGTAGACGGGTACTATCACGTGAAGAAGGGTCAACACGTGCATTCAGTTTGGGTAACTAGAATTGTTATCTCCTTTGTCTTGCTAGGCTCAGCTCTGCAATCACTGACAGGGCAGCTCCGGGGAGTCACATTCTACAGAGCAGACTGGTAATCTTCTCGCCTTCCTGCCCCGCGCCAAAACTCTCGTCGGAGAGCTTCCCTCCCTGGCTACCTCAATACAAACTTTATAATCATCCTTCATGTGTCTTTCTTCCCTTGTACTACAAGTGGCAGGACTCCTGGCTACATCCTCCCCTGGCTGAACCCCAGGCACAACTTTAGGTTTGGAGTTCTGGGGGACAGCACGGACTCCACGTCCAGGAAGGACAAAACAACCCCCCCCCCCCAAAACGCACCATGTTCTTCAGCAGGAAGCCGTGGACTCGCGCCACTCCCACTGCACATGCGCAAAGCCAAGCCTAAGACGGCGGTCGGCCAGCCGGGCTACAGTTACCGGAAGAACCGGGCCGTCTCTTCTCGCGAGAAGGAGGGGGTGGGCCCGAAGGACTAGAGCAGCGATCGTTGCCAGGGAAACGCCCTGGGATTTGTGGCTCCTACTTAGCTACAGGGAAAAGGCTGAGCTGCAAAATTCAGACCAGATTCTGAACCCTTAGTAAAAAGTAATGACTGTAACAAGCTGAATTTTAAATATTATTAATTGTAACTTTATTTAGGACCCTTACGGGCTCACATTTGTAAAATTTATATTTAGCCGGTTGGCTAATTGGTAGGATACAAGCATGCCTGATGTGTTAGACACAATCAGCAGTGACAAAGCATTTTTCCTCTATTGAAATGTTTTTCCCTCAATTGGTCTGACCCAATGTAAATTCTCAAATATGCACCTAATGAGGATGCAGCAGTAGGAAGAAAAACTGGAACGTTCCATTGAAGTTGGTGGTTTTGAGGTTCAAAACAAAACAAAAAAACCCCACCTTTGCCCTGAATGTTCTTTGAAAGAACTGAGAAAAGAGTCACCAGGGAGGTGAGTTTGGTTTTACTTAGTAGCTAGTGGAAGTTCTTACAGCGCACCACTGGGCCAGGTGTGGGCTATGAGGCCGGGGACAGGGGTTGGCTTCCTGGTTATTGCTTTAAAGAGCTTTGCCTGTGTCCTACAGGTGGAAACAGGGAGGCCCGAGGAGGCACATCCAACTCTGCAAGAGCTTTCTTGGGAATGGCAACACTGGCTCAACTAATGACCAGCGTAGCCAGTGCCTGGGGATTCATTCCTACAGAGAAGTGTGCCAGCCAGGCATAGTGGTACATGCCTTTAATCCCAGCACTCGGGAGGGAGAGACAGGTGCCTCTGGAGTTCCAAGGTTAGCCATAATGAGACTGTCTCAAAAATGTAACTAAATATCAAGATTAAACAGAAGAAAATAAAGTTTCATTGTGGTCTTGCATATGAAAATGAGTAGGTTATTGTATGCTCTTAAAGAGCTAATGGGTTTTTTTTAGAGAGCTTTTGTTTTTATCATGTTTATGTTTAGCACTTGGATCTAGGTATAAATTTAGAGATGAACTAACTGGACAACTGTTCAGAGAGAACAGGTTCAATTCTGTCATTGGACACTCAAAACTAAAATGTCAGCTTCTCATTTCTCCACATGTAAGTCTTTCTAAAAAAGAAACTATAACTTTGATGTAGTTCTGAACAGGAGTCTCTCTCTCTCTCTCTCCCTCCTTCCCTCCTCCCCCCCCCCATGTAACCCATAAGCTAATGTGTATTTATTCTGGGCTTAAAAAAACACTTGTCAGACTAAAGTTGATAGATAGTTGCCATTATGTATTATTAGAGTTATCATAACCAAATATCCCAGAATACGGGGTGCCTCCTTAAAAAAAATTAGACAGTACTTTAAAAAAAAACAAACCAGACTTTGTTCCCGCACACAGTTTAGGAAGATGGAGTCTAAGACCAAGATGTCAGCACATCTGGTTTCTTCAGAGACAGGTGGTGTTGGCTTGTCCATAGCTTCATCTTATGGTCTTTGATGGCCCTTTCCCTGTGTTGGTAAATTCTTGGTGTCCTTCCCTCTAAGATTAAGGCTCCTTCCCTGATGACCTGATTGAACCTCCATTTACCTCTTGAGAAATTTTCTGAAGAGACATTTATTGATTTCGTGTGTAATTGTGCCTATGTGTGACTGCACATGTGTCACAGTGAGCGTGTGGAGTCAATAGTCTGTTTCCGCCGCATGGTCCCAGGGATCGAACGCAGGTCACAAGTCTTGGCATTATATGCCTTTACCTACGAGCCATCTTGCTCTCTCTTCGATACTCTTTTCTGGCATTGTCTCCAAATACAGGATGGGACTGAAGGAGTCAACGTTAAATTTTATGGAACACTCAGTGTGATCTGTAATGCACTAGAACTGTGTGTGTGTTAATTTACAATGATATGGTACACAGTAAAAAAAAAAAAAGAGAGAGAGAGAGAGAGACTGATAAAAACCAAAATCTTGAACACTTAAAGAGATGACAATAAAGGATATGTACTTTTCAACAAAGGACGCAGAAGAAAGTATTATGAAGAAACACCATCAACCGTTCTAGAGGTCCTTTAGAGAAGTCTGCCCGTTTAAGACATCTAAGAACATGTGTCAGTCCCTGCAACAGTTGCTTAAGTATATGTCATAATTGGTTGCCAGGGAAGTTGTCATAGGTCATGGGGGGAAATCGTTCCCAGTCACCTTCATCCCTTTGAGCATGTTTTATTTTCTAAGCAAGAAGCTATCATGGGAGACCTTTTGTCTTTATTTTGGGAGGTAGATCCTCCTCCCATACCTCTCAGTTTTTCCATTCCCAGTCAGGATGCCGAGTGCCGGAAAGACGACTCTTGCGGGACGATAGGAAGTTTCCTGCTTTGGTATTTCGTCATCATACTGATTCTCATGCTCTTCTCTCGGGCTTCTGTCTGGGTAAGGAATCCTTTCCAATCTAAATCATAGGTTTTCATTAACTACACTGTCTGTAGTTTGATGTGTTTTTTTAAAAGGTTTTTATTTTGTTTAATAAGTGATACAATCCCTAGGCATGTTGGTGGCGCATGCCTTTGATACCAGCACTGGCGAGGCAGAAGCAGGCCAGTCTCTGTGAGTTTGAGGTCCATCCTGGTCTACATAGTGAGTTTCAGGACAGCCAGGGTTACATAGAGAAATCCTGTCTTGAAAAACAATACAAACAAATATGGTGCAATCTCAGGCTAGAGAATCTAAAGCTATTGAAAGAGATAAAGAACAGTAAAACCACTCTACTATAGAAAGAAATACTGTTAAGTTTGTGGAGGAACTCTTTCTAGGTTACTCTTTTTCTGCTTTTTCTCAGTCTTTGTCTTTGCTTGGTCTAGCTTCTATGTATTTTCATATCCTGACTTTTAAACTTAGATATTTTGTAAATGCTTCCACATGTTCTAGTCACTCTATAGCACTTCCTATTGCATAATTTTTCTGCCTTGTACTATAAAATTTCTGCAGTTGGAATTTTAGACTGTTTGCATTCTGTTCATTTGTTGTGCGATGCTGAGATCAATCTCTCTACTGATTACTGATTTTCAAGTCCCTCTTCCAGCCATGTAATTCTATAATCAAAGGGGTAAGTGTTATCGATAGAACACAGGTAGGATTTGCAGAGGGGTTAGAAGGCAGTAATGTCTTTTCTGTGTAGAATAAGATACAGAACTCAACTAAACAGAGCTAAAGTCACAGGTCAGCAAAAGAAAATACTAGAAGCTTAGGAATGGTATAGTCCACTTTATCATCGAGGCTGTGGCCCTCAACATATTATGAGCAACCAACCTCTTATAAATTGCTGACACAGAATCTTTTCTGGCCATTAATACTGGGCTGGTGATTAATCAAGCTCCTACCACAATTTAGCATTACAGCCAGAGCCCACTGCTGCCAGCGGTCAGCAAGACTGAGTGCTCCATCAGCTCTGGATAGAGACGAGAAGGTTTGTTATTTCAATGCCAGATAGATTCCATTATAATAATAAAAAAAATCTCTTTTCCCCTACTACCTCCTGGCCAAGAAGTTTTATCTGAAGTCTAAATGCTTCTTAAGGTAAATACTTTGCCAGAAGGAGACTTAGAATAGTGATAGCTTGTATGTGTTTTAGACTCCCTAGCTAAGTATATTGAATTTGGCCTGGCAAGAAAAGCTACTTTAGAAAATTAACAAAAAAAAAAATGGAATTGATAACTGGAATTTCATCATGAAGACTGTTTAAGAGGTCTAGCTATTCAGCTATTCTTTAGTTCCCTTGCTTACATCAGCAATTTGGAGTCATAGAGATATGCTTTAAGACCATAGGGGAGCATGTGGTCTAGCCTTCTGTCTGTAGGCAAGTTTTTTGTTTTTTTGTTTTGTTTTTTTTTTTTTGATTGATAAGGCCCAAGGAATTTAAGTGACTTGTCCAATGTCACACAAGTGGTTAGTGACAGAGTGACAGGAGGAAAATGGACCCAGATTTCCTGCTATTCTATTTGTTTACTTCAAAGCATAGTTTGAAATGTTGAAGTAGATCTATTGAGCGCTGATTAAAACCTTAATTATCTTAGAGGTTTCATCTTTCACTTGTGCCCTTGTGCCAGCTACAGTTGGTTGGCCTGCTTCTCCTGAGGGTCCCAGATTTGAAATCTGAGAACCATAGGAGAGCAGGTCGAGGAGGATGGAAGTTTCCCCTCACTTTGAACGGCTTCGTTTTCTCTGTGAAACTGTGGGCCTCTATTTACAGACCTTAAAGTATTGGTAAGCGCGACGGAAATGTGGCGGTCATTATCCTCCAACATGCAACATGCCGATTACCTCTAGATTTGTCACTTTCTAAAACAGATGTGTGTTCTCCGTTTGTTTTCAGATACGAGCTGCTCCATTCAGGTAGCCTGCTTGTTTAACATCTGCTAAGACTGCTAGTTCTGGTTTTATTTTGCTGGATCAATATTAATCTGAAGTCCTTATTTTTTGCCTACATAGAAATTGAGTTTAGAAGGTGTTGACTGGCATGAGGAGATGGCAGAGTTGATGAGGGCAGAGAGAGAGAGAGAGAGAGAGAGAGAGAGAGAGAGAGAGAGAGAGAGAAAAGACACCACTGCACTCCTCTTCTGCCCTGCCCTCAGAGGAACCACTGTCATTACTTTCCCTTACTAAGTCACACAAGAACAGTTAATGAAATGCTTGTGGTAGCCACAACTTATATGATTCCACTTAGTTTAATGCAAAACTCTTTCTTTGGATTTTGTGGTTATATTTTGATTTGACATCCAATGTGGAAGCTCTCTGAGGTGATTATAAACCTAATGATGTAAACCTAATACATGCTGTTAAACACCTTTCCCCTGCACCTATGAAAGTACATGCTACAGAACACAAGATTATAGGACCATGGACGCAATGAAACAGGCACTAGCTGGATTGTGTGGACGGCACATCACCAAGTACCATTAACATCTAGGTTCACACATTCAGTCTTTTAATAACTCTCTCCATACATGTCAGAGTTAAAATATATACAGAACTCTAACACATTTTTTAAAAAGTGTATCTTTAAAGAGACCATCAGTCTCAAGATATTCAGAGAATGGTTACTGTAATGAAGAAAAAAAAAGGCAAGAAAAGAAATATCCTGTTAAAGACAGAGAAAAAGCAACAAGGGGCTTTAGATTTTGCTGCTAGAACTATTAAAATATGTGCCAGGTGGCATACACGTGTAATGCCAGGACTTGGGAGGTGGAGGCAGGAGGATCCAGAGGGTCAAGGCCATTTTGGTTATGTGGTTAGTTCCAGACCAGCTGGGCTATATGAAGCCTGGTCTCAAAAAGCTAAAAATGTAAAACTAACAACACATTCAGGCTTTCAATCTATACATAAGTTTGACCTTCTGTACAAATCATATTTCCTAACTATAGACAATTTGAAAAAAAGGATTAAAATCACTATTTTAACCATTTAAAGCCAGCCTTTGCTTCATACATGTTTCTTACCTACATATGTCCCTTGCCAGGCCCCCAATCTGTTTCTAAATGAAATTGGTCTGTAATATAAGTGATAAGAAAACAAACTTTATTACCCCGTGAGTGTTATTTTCTCTATGTCTTTGCTTGGTTTTGCTTGGTTAAAACATTTTGGTAGATTCTGCCATCAAAGCGTGGTCTTCTGAACTAATAGTGGAGGTGGGTTCACCATAACAGAACTCAATACGCACTTCTTTAACAGGGTTGACTGTTTAAAGTTAGACCTTAGGGAAGGGCCTTGGGCAGTGGCTTAACAAGTTGGTGTTCACACAGTGCAGCTGACCAAGTTCATCTTCCTGTGTTTCTGAAACAGATGTCTGAGAGCAAGAGGGATGAAGACAGTGGGACCAGTGCTTCACTAAGTAAAGGTGAGAGTCGGGGTGCTCGGGGTCGGGCTAGGAGAGAGGATGGTGTCCTGAGTGTGGTTCCAAGAGAGGTTCCAAGGCCTCATCACACCAGCAAAAGCCATTGTGTGAGCTGTTTCCTTCCTGAGTGTACACAGCTCAGCTTCCCCACCCCTAGAGCCCCCAGAAGCTACAAATCCCTGGCAGATAGGGGTCACTTTGTTGTCATGTCTCAGCACTTGCCTTCTCAAAGCTTTGAGAATAGACAAATGTGTGTGCCAATAATGTTTATAAAATGTATTGATATGAAAGATCTCTCTATCCCACAGTTTATAAAGAAGTATACAGTGCTCAGTGGAGTACTGATTTCACACACAATGCTCTTTGTGATTTTTGCTAAACCCTTGCCTAGGTTATCCCATAATTATAAATTACTGAGTGGGTGTAGTGTTAACATAAATGTTGTCTTCAAAGTTAAGGAATAAGACAGAAGCATGACAGAGATGTAAGTGGGAACTCAGCTTAGTTGTCCATACAGCTGCTTTGTTGAAGTTAATCATAACTTCAGAACACTGGAATAATACTTTTTAATTTTGAGTTGTTAGTCACAATTTAGGCTGCAGGCATGACAATTAAATTTACATTAGGAACACATTTTCCATCATTTTCTAAGCCCTAAGCAATCAGTGAAAGCATGCACTAAGTCCTGATCTTTTTGCTGGTTTCCAGGTAAATGCTCACTCCAATAATGGTTTTGAGCTGGCAACATATTGTCATGGAACAGAGTTGGAGACAGATGTACAATAATAACACATCCTCAAATAGTACTTCCCGCACCAGATAAACAGCTTTGAGAGCACACAGCATAATAAATCATAGTAAGATAATTAGGAAATTATGGGCATTAAGTAATTATCACCTTTTTGGTAGATTGATTTAATTGTAAATTTGTATAATTTGTTTAGTAATGATGTTTAACCATCTCACAAAATTTCCAAAAATTTATCAGGAATTTTGAGCTGGTACAAGCCAACATCAGCATAGAGAAGAGTGTGAGGAGAAGAGAGAGGCTTCCCGCCACCCAAACCACTCTCACACACACTGGAGTCAGATGGAGTCTCCTCCCTTTGTCTTGAAGTCTCACTGACTCCAGT